TACAAACCACTGGTGCACATCACTTGGTACCGCTGGGCTCTGTGTGCGGCCATGAGTGCCATGAGTGGCCCCCAAAGGCCGAGGTCTTGTCCTCCCTCAGTATCTGCACTGGGGTCGAGACCTAATGAGATTTACAGGGTCAAGAGTTTGCAACGGTTCTCTTGAAGATCACGGCGACACAAAGAGATTTCCGCATTAATCCGTCATCCGCGCGGCCATGTGTCTGAAGCCTCGGACACCTCGCTCTATCCTCCCGTGACCGCTCGGCAGCCCAAGAACACGTGGGAGACCGATTGGGGGTAGGAGGGGTGGTTTGTTCCACAATGTCAGAGCGCTGCGCAAATAAGATAAGGAATGGCAGAAATGGTTTTGGGGTTGTGATACCGCAGCTCCGAGGCCTTTCACGACACACGTTGAGAACGTGTGGGAGCAACCGTGCGTGCCACTCACCGATGGCATGATTAATACATGGTGCTTCACTTCCACAATCGCCGACGACCGGGCTGGGTGGGCCCTGGCACCAGGCAGGGCCAGAGTGAACCCATCCCCCACTGCAGCCCCAAATTCGGGCTGTACGATTTACGTTTGAAAGTCACAATCGTCATCGGCCGTGATCTTTCCACCGCAAGCAGGTGTGTCCGTCCGTCCGGCGGGCCCTCGGCGCTGCGTCGAGGGCCCTTGCCGGCTCAAGCGGCCGCCCTCGAAGCCGCGGCTGAGTGAACTGTACGGCACTCGAGGGGCACTGCGTGCCGCTAACTTGCCAAAACGTTCCGCTCTGCCTCGTGCTCCGCTGGGAAATTTGCTCCGGCAGAGTTTTGCTAAATTCCAGTTCTTGTGATCGACCACGATACGCATTTTTTTTTTTGGCAGTTTTACCGACATTTAAATCAAAATCAAGTTGCCACGCACTACACCTGCCTGATGATTGGAAAATGCATCTGAAGTGAAGTAGATATTCAGATTCCGGTGAAGCTAATTTGAATCGGTGCCCTCGACAACATGTAGGTCCCATACGTACGTACACATACACACACAAAATGTCTTTATATTCATTTGAATCAGCGTTCCGTGCATCGTGTGCAGTGCACGTGTACATGCACACGATCTCTATCTAAATAAGAATCAGCATGAAGTCACCTGAATCGGCAGCATCTTAGTCCCGTGGGACACACACGTGCGCATGTACACGAGTTATCGATTTTTTATTTTAATCAACACTCACTGGCTGACGTGGGACGTGTTTACCAATTATCAGGCACGTGTAGAATAAATTTTCTTAAATAGTTTTTTAAATGTTGTAGACGTGGAAAGCCGTACAGTGGTATGACAAGCAGTGTCGTTTGGGAAACTCTGCCATGAGGAAGCAAAGACGGAAAGTGTCTTTTAGCTCAAACAAGTATGTGGAAACAATCGTCTCCAATTCCAGTCATGTGCCTGTTGGGGAAATTCCACATTCGTATGGCAGTGGGTCAGTAAAACAACCACGCTTGACTTCATACAGTGCAGTGGCAGTCTTATTACCCACACCGGAGGAGACACAGGTCAAAGAAAATCCCTCCTGCCCAGGAACTAAACCCGCACCCCTTCTGAATGCGAGTCAAGCATTCTTAACACAGCCAGTTGTTGAGCGAACTATTTAAAACAATGTTTTAAAAAATATACCGTATTTGTTTGGTTTTTAGCTTCAATTTCCTGGATGCTGGACTTCCTGGATGTGAGTGAGCGAGCGAGTGGGGCTGGGCTGGATGTTTTTGACATGGTTCCGAGTCGATCTGGCTCAACCGCACGCCGTTGCCTCCGCTTACCCCTGTTTCTCCGTGCAAAAACGTAAGACGGCTTAACCATACTGCAGCAGCAGCGGTGGTGGCAACAGCAATAACATCTGTCGGGGAGCAAAGCGAGCGAGCGTGCGGGTGCGTTCCGTCATCCCTGGGGGGTCGTTTATCCGCCTGTTATTAGCAGCGCTTGCGGGGTCGTTACGGAATTAGTGAGCAGCGGCCGTGGGATTTTGTGGCGCGGGCGATCGCGTGGAGGAGCCTCGTCTCGGACAATATCTGGTGTCCTTTTTGGTTCTTTCGGTAAAGTCACGTAGGTGACTTTACCGAAAGAACCAAAGAGTATGGATCCTTGCAGTCACGAAAACTTCAAATCTAGTATCTGGTGTCCTCTCCACATTCTGTTTGAATTGCGGGAAGACTCGGGACAGAATAACAAGCAGCCCTTGTGTTCCTGATGTGCACTCAGGCCGTGTGTCCCCGAGCTGAATGCGTTTGAAGCATCATTAATGATAGAAACATTTTTACTTGTAAGTTGTGGTCAACCACATAATTATGGGTGGTGTGATAGCATAGCAGTTAGCGCACTGTCTTATGGACCCGGCATCCTGAGTTTGGATACTGGCTGTTGCTAACATCGGTGGTGAGCGGTTCACTAACCTGTGAGCTGCGAGTTCAAAATCCTGAATCCTGGCCAGGCTTAGTCTTGGCCATTCATCTCTCCGAGGTCAGTAAAATGAGTACCACTTTGGATGAAGTGAACAGCGGTTACCCTTTGGATCGAATGTGCCATTGCAATGAGGGATTTCCACGGCGGGCTCCGGGGGCTGTAAACTAGAGACGATTCCCGCCCCACTCTGCTCAAAGCAGGAAACCACTCTTGAGTGAATTGTTGCCGGACACCGAAATAAACAACGCAGCAGAGTGCACGACTTTGTGTGGGTGAGGGAGAGCACTGTGCATCTTCAAATGTCAACTCATTGATCACTGAATACAAAAAAAAATCTCAAAAATTCACAGCTCTGTTAATCCACTGCTGGATGACGGTTTCCCCATCCCGCGTCAATCATTAGGGAACTAATAACCCTCGCAGACTTGGTCCACTTCTATCTGCTGGCGTACTCAACTGGAGATTAATGACAGTGGGTCACTGATAGCACGGTTGGCTACGTTCAGTGCGAAAGACATTCAACATACATGCAATGGGGGTCGTATATGTGTGTTTAGCTTGTAGAATTTAGAACCTTTGGCTAATGTTGCCTTATGAGTGAAAACACTCAACCTCCATAAAATAAAGATTTGAGGCCCAAATTCAAACATTCAGGTTTTTGGATGTGTCTCCTTTTAAGCATAGACATGACTGTTTCTGTGAAACAGTTCAACTTCCAAGTCCTTCTAGAACATCTTTAGAATTCTCATCATTGACAAAGTCAAAGTCTTCCACACGTATGTATTGGCAATAATTAAAAAACACACATTGGACCTCTGATATATTCTTGAAGCCTTCTTCCAAAGGTCACCGAAGTGGCGAGATTTTAACTACCTTTGATGGCATACAGGAGGTCGTGGGTTGGATCCTGATCTTGATGCCTGTATATTTTTAGTTTGCATGTTTTTCCTATATTGAGAAACATGCGGTTCGAGTACGTGGCTGCTATAAATTTCCACATGATAAGCCACTTCGTTGAGCTGTCATTTGTGGCCAGGTCACATTTTGAAAAGAGCTGTAGAGCTCAGTCGGTCTTACCTGGTAAAATAAAAAATTGTTTAGTTTACAATGAAACCATGCTTAATTCAGGAATATGAATCCACTTTATATTTATTGTCATTGGGTTTGTTTCAATAGAGTAATGTAGGCATGTTTAATGTGATGACATTAATGTTTAAAAACAAGCTGTTTTTACCAATCAATGAATCGTACTTTATTTATTCTAGCGCCCTTCACAATGAAATTGTCACAGAACGCTTCACGCGTGAATATAAACATTAAATCAATAAAATGTAAGTTACACAAAACAATAAAAGTGTTTAAGTAGTGGGTTTTATTTCGGAATGTGGGGGGAAAAAAAAACGTCAAATCCAAAAAATAAATCCACTGTTGTACCCTACGTCTATGTTCACCACCTGCACCAACCTCCACCGGCCTATATGGGAACTTGTGGTCAAGTAATACCCCCCCAAGGCCCGCACTGCATGTGGAGGGCTCTGTTCCAACATTGGATTGACGGAAAGGGACGCGCATATATATAGGCACATTAATCTGGGGAGCATGGGAAATACACACCAATTAATTCATTCAGTCATTCATGTATCCATGCAGTCACCTTCAGTGGGCTTAATGGACACTAATCCGTTTCACGCTCGCACAGCCTCCTAAGTCCCTCGCATATGCCTCCTGGAAGCGTCTCAAGCCCCTCCGTCGGTGCAGCACCCTCTGGTGGAAGTTAATTTATCACTTAGTGCCACCGCAGCCATTGATCAGGTAACCGGATAATGTTCCAATCAGGTAAACGGTGAATTAAAGAAGATACAAGTCAAAGGTTGAGCCTGGATAGCGTTTTTGGCAGGCGACCGGCGTGCGTAACAGGTGTTATAGGCTGCAGCGCCACGTTGTGGGCAACAGAAGGCGGCACAGGGAAACCCACGGTTGTGCCGTGTTCCCTGACCCCACCGACCCGCACTGGCCAGTGTGGTGAGGTATGGTCAAACAACCTCCACGGACCCCACAGCATGGGGAGGCCCTCATCCAGCCAGTGGATTGACAAGAAGGTTGTACATTAATAAGCCAACATTCAGCTCTTACCTAGTGGCAACACGTCTAGGACGTACAATTGTGGTTTATATGACTGCTGTAGTGTTTTTTTAAAGCATGTTTTCATAATAATAATGCCTATTTTTACCTCGTGAAGATTCAATCACTCTTAAGACTTGTTTCAGGAGGAGTCCTACATTGAGATATTTGGCCAAATCGATGGATGTAGGTGTGCGTGCGTGTGCCACAACTGTAAGGGCTTTGCTGACATCCACTCTATCGTCTTGCTTTCTCACGAAAAGAGCTACAAACTTGGGTCACACAGTTCAGGAGACAAAGCCTCGGCCTGGTGTTGCATAAAAAAAACTTTCGTGCCCCCTGCATGTGCGTGACCCCGCCGCGTTACCCACGCGCCCACGATGATATCGCGATGCCTCCGCCCCCTCCCCATACCCACCGCCGCCGTTCTCCAGGCGGAGCTCTCACCAAGGACCTGCGGCTCTACCTCAACCAGCGCTTCCAGAAGGGCTCCGTGGACCACGAGCTGCAGCAGACGATCCGTGACAACCTCTACCTGCGCACTGTGCCCTGTGAGTGCCGGCCCCACGCTCCCTCCCCCTCCCGGTTGCCTGCCTTTATCCACTTCGCCAGCTACTGCCACTCCAGATCGAAAACGAATTTCTTTAGAGCTGCTCTTTGTGTGTTTAGTTTGGTGTCCTTTCCTTCGCACCTTCGGTTAGCACGGTTGGCTACGTATGTACGGTACAAAAGAAGTTCCACATACATCCATACATACACTGAGCCAATGTCATATCTTATCTGTCTGGTGCCAGTCGCGTTTTAGAATATTACATTTAACATAAATGAGTTTTAATTAGAAATACTTCATACTTCTTTTTTAAGGGTTTGACTTTTACTCAATGGCTACTATTAGGTAACTATTCATATGCCTATTTAAAAACGGATCATAATAAAACATTGTTAATATAGAATGGTGATAAGTGCAGTCTCCAACTCTTATGAACACGATCTTTTAAGCCTCTCAGTTACGTGTTATGGAGAATGACCGTTACCTTGAACGTCGCCTATTTTTTCTATTTTCTTATAACGCCACAGTGTTATTGACGAATGTGTTGAATTTTGTTTCCGTTTATCCCTCTGCTGCCATCCTCATAACTGAGGGTTGATGACCATGACCGATGCTTTCCATAGTTTGCGATTCTCAGCGTCTCTCATGGAAAATCCCACCAACCCTCTCACCCTGTCCCACCAACTCTCTCACCCTGTCCCACCAACTCTCTCACCCTGTCCCACCAACTCTCTCACCCTGTCCCACCAACTCTGTTACCCGTGTCTCACCCTGCCCCACCAACTCCCTCACCCTGTCCCATCAACTCTCTCACCCTGTCTCACCAACTCTGTTACCCTGTCTCACCCTGTCCCACCAACTCTCTCACCCTGTCCCACCAACTGTCTCACCCTGTCCCACCAACTCCCTCACCCTGTCCCACCAACTCCCTCACCCTGTCCCATCAACTCTCTCACCCTGTCCCACCAACCCTCTCACCCTGTCCCACCCAACTGTCTCACCCTGTCCCACCAACTGTCTCACCCTGTCCCACCAACTCCCTCACCCTGTCCCACCAACTGTCTCACCCTGTCCCACCAACTCCCTCACCCTGTCCCACCAACTGTCTCACCCTGTCCCACCAACTCCCTCACCCTGTCCCATCAACTCTCTCACCCTGTCCCATCAACTCTCTCACCCTGTCCCACCAACTCTCTCACCCTGTCCAACCAACTGTCTCACCCTGTCCCACCAACTCCCTCACCCTGTCCCACCAACTCCCTCACCCTGTCCCATCAACTCTCTCACCCTGTCCCATCAACTCTCTCACCCTGTCCCACCAACCTGTCTCACCCTGTCCAACCAACTGTCTCACCCTGTCCCACCAACCCTCTCACCCTGTCCAACCAACCCTCTCACCCTGTCCCACCAACCCTCTCACCCTGTCCCACCAACCCTCTCACCCTGTCCCACCAACCTCTCTCACCCTGTCCAACCAACTGTCTCACCCTATCCCACCATCTGTCTCACCCTGTCCCACCAACCCTCTCACCCTGTCCCATCCACCAACCCTCTCACCCTGTCCCACCAACCCTCTCACCCTGTCCCACCATCTGTCTCACCCTGTCCCACCAACCCTCTCACCCTGTCCCACCAACCCTCTCACCCTGTCCCACCAACTCTCTCACCCTGTCCCGCCATCTGTCTCACCCTGTCCCACCATCTGTCTCACCCTGTCCCACCGGGTGATCCGTTTCCTTCCTCGTCGCCTCTTCCCTTCTTACATTCTCCTTGCGTAATCATCTTTGTCAAATCTCCAGCTGTTGGGTCTCTTGGGGTATCCCCCATGAACACCATCTTCCTTCTCATCAGACATTCTCAATAACTCCCGTCTGTTGCCAATCTCTTCCAGCACATCTTCATTCTCCGTCTTACACGTATGTATGTTGAACTGCTTTCGCACCGTACGTAGCCAACCATGCTAATTGGAGGTCTTCTTATCACGCAAGCTCATTTTCTCTATTCTTCAGTATCACAACATCTCAAGGGCATTAAATATTTTTTTTATCACTAATCCACAGTGCCCATGTTTCACTGCCATATCCCGCTACGCTCTTCAATAAATCTTCCAGTGTCTTCCTCCTCACTGTTTTCTTTGGAACGCTGAGGTGCTGCTTGTGCTTGGCTTGTCTTTTCTTTTCCAAAGAAGATGTAGCCCAAACTAAATATATCTCGGGTATGATACGTAACATATACAACCCTATATTAATCCACTTCAGTACGAGGGTTCCCCATGCCATGCAAGCAGTGAGGGTTATTGGGCGTACTTCACCACACTGGTGAGTTGCGGGTTGGCGATGTTTCAACTGAAGACGATTGCTTGTGTTGCGATCAAAACGTCATGATATTGTTATTATTTTGATTCTTTTTTCTATCTACGTGGCTTTACCGAAAGACCCAAATAATATGTTTACACCAGGTACTCATTTGAGGTTGAGTCGACCTAGGGGAGGCCCAGACCGGTTCCGATAATCATCACTGGTGTTGGCCATGAACGGGAATTAAACACAGATTGCCGGGTTCGTAGCGCAGCATGCTAACCGCTACACTACTGCTCCCTGCTATTTTAAAAATGTGGTTACACACAAACACACACGACTGCGAAAACATGCAATGGTCTGCCATGTATGCATAGATGCTATTATGGCAAGTGCTGTTAGCACTCACTTATTAAGGCCAGCATGGTGCCAACACCGCTTTTGTTGATGCTAAATGACGATGAGTTAAAAAATCTACACTGTAGATTATTCACTGAATGAATGCGCGAGTCAGTGAATGAACAAATGAAAATTTGTGGTCCAAGACAAATACAAATTGTTGCAACAAAGCCACGGAATTTTCTGATGACTCAACGGTGCTTGGCTGCGCACATTCCACGAGCAATATCGGCACTCATCCCATGCGACCGCCGCTGTCCCGTCTCCTCTCTCCTCCGGGACCCCCGTCGCGCGTCACGCGTCACGCGACCTCTGAACCTGCCACCACGGCCGCCGGGCTCCACCTGGAGCAGCGTAGCAGCGCTGGCTCGGAGTCCGTGCACATTTCCGTGGGGCGGCGCGCGGGTGCGTGCGTGCGTGCCTGAAATATTGCCCCCGTCCAGCCGCGGGTGCGAGGCAGGGTTTGTTTTTGCTCCTTGACGTCTCCCCTTGTAAAATATTTATACAGGATATTCCATTAGGCCTCCGAAGGCTCGCGTAGTGTTTAAACCCGGGCGCTTGGCCAGTCTGGCGAACAAGACGTTAAACAAAACCAAAGATACGCATGCACACACACTGCGAACCGCACAAACAGCCTGTAATTAACATCCTGTGGCTGCAGTACGTTATAACTAGATATTAATTATATTGCAATAGACGTGAAGAGACAAAGTGTGCAAATTTAGGAAATGTCATTGCGGCGCGCGTGCGTGTGATCACGATTGTTAACCGGACTGTCGGGCTGATTGGTATTTATGGTCCTCACTCCCGGCATTGCTGCGCTCTGCGTGAGCTCGAGGCTCCCCTATCCAGGTGACCTATTGCACATCAGTGGATTCCCACCAGCTTGTAAATAAACGAAATGGCCTTGATCGATTGATTGATTTACGCTTAGTGATGTAGGGGAATATTTACGTCGTAGCCGTGATCATGAATAATAATTCGACCCCTATAATTCGACCCGGTTTGATCCGTGCCTTGCCTGAGCCACACTCCCCTCCCTCCCTCCCGCACCCCCCCCCCACTCTCCCACAGCCTCGCTCCTCACACCCACCGCCCCCCCTCTCGCACAAATCCGTTAAAACGAGACAGTTCTGGAAGAATAACTGACCGGCCCCTGGGCATGTGGCAGCAGCGGAGGCGGTGGACGGAGCCGGAGCGGCTGGGGAGGAGCAGAACGTTAGCATGCAGGAGGCATGAGTCAAGAGTGCCGAGGGTGTCTGGCATTAACAGAAGGAAGCACAGCTGAGCGCAATTCGTTTCACAGCCGACGACGGTGGCCGCGAAACAACAGGTATTCGTTCGACAGCGACGTTACGTCTTCTCTTTGGGTTCGGATACCAAACGGGGATACGATTCTCGCGTGCCCAGCGTGCCTGCATGGGCGGCCGGTGTTCATATTTACGATGCAGAAATGCAGGAATTGGGACGTATAAATAAATGCAAACGAATCGGAGTTGTGAGCGGCGAATGGTGTATGTTAAAGCAGCTGGTACATGTGTAGTGATGTAGGTGCTCATTGTTTTCGCATCATCCATCCTATTGATGATGGAGAAGGCGACCGACTGGATCAGACAATGAAATTGTTTTTTTCTGTGGTGATGGTGGTGGTGTGGGATTGGGTCTGTCCGATAAGCAGAGGGATAGATTGATCATGTCGAGGAGGTGGTGCTGCTGCTGCTGCTTCTGCCGCTGCTCGGCTTACTGCGAGCGCCCGTGTTATATCCACCCCGCTCGCAATTTGCACATCCCAGTCACATGGTCCGCCTGCCCCTGCCGTGCACGATTGTGTGCAGCAGGCTGATAACAACAGCCAGACGCCACTCTACTTAGTCGTTACCGAACTATAAAAGCCTTGAGATTCGCAGACCGCCGTGCATGCCCATCCATTGTTCGGTAAGCGCTCCTGCTGCTCCAAACTTGAGATCTGCATTCTGCAGTTCTGCTTTGCTGGCCGAACTGTCGTGGCCGCGGTGGGGGATTCTCGTGGCGCGTGGGGAAATGTTTACGTTTGTGATTTTGCTAAATCTGTTTTGCTCGTCGAGCACACGGTTGTTGTCGCAGGAAGGTGCAGTGCTTTCAGGAAGGTTTTTTGTGGGGATGTGTGGAAGGAAGGTCATGGGGAAAAAAGACAGGACAATACATCCAGTGGGTCAGTTTTATATTTATCGCTGTCGCTATTTATTCCTCTTGCAGGATTATTTTGACGTGGTTAGCGGAGTCAGGGCTGGGGAGGGTTGGCGGTGGTGGTGGGGGCTTTGGGGTTTGGGGGAAAATGGTGCGCGCCGCGTTTGACATTCATTCCTCCGTGCTGCGAGCCGGATGCGAGACGCTCGCTGCGGCTCGTGCACACCGTGCACGCCGTGCACAACGTGGCGCGTTTGGATTCCGCAGGGACGGGCGGCAGCTGGCGCACGACCAGGTGATTCGGAACGACGTCCACCAGCGCGCACCACTACCCCCCCCCCCACCACCACAACCACCACCATCGCTATACCAGCAGTCAGGGGGTCGCCTACGTCTCAGTGGATGCTCGAAACGGCGAGGCATTAACCTCGGGCATCCGTGACCTCTTCCAGCTCCTGCTGCTGCTTAATTTTAGGCGTTATATCTCCCCCTCCACCACCCCGCTGCATCGTTGTTGGGGGTCAAAATGCAGCGAGGTTTGAACGAGGTGGTTATTACTGCTGCGCTGCACGACTGAGCGCTGCGGATTGGAGACATGCTGTGTGTGTGTATATATGTCTATGAACGCGTGTGTTCATTAACACATGTATTACGTTAGAGTACGCATTTTGTTTACTACCACGGTAGGTTTGTATGCCTGTGCCATCCGGTGTTCACATCTAGACCTCTATATACTGTGTGCTGTTGTTGATGCATGATGTAACGGTGCAGATGTAGGCATGCTGCATGTGCGCACGTGTGGGTGTGAGTGTTCGTTAACGCGCGTAATATGTTGGAGTATATAATTTGCAATCACGATAAGTTCATGTTCACGTATACGCCTATGCCGTGCGCTGTTATTACTTTGAACACTGCAAACTGGATGTGTGTGCCTATACTGCATTTGTGTGTGTCTGTGCATTTAACATGTGTATTATGTTTGAGTATATACATCACGATCACAGTAAGTTTGTATTCACATCAACTCCACACCTGCGCTGGGTTATTGTTAATGCAATATTAAGCACTGCAGATGTTGACATGCTGTGCGTGTGTTCGCTAGCATATTTTATATCAAGTTGTGCAGCTCTTTTGTCAATCTACTGCTGGATGAAGGCCTCATACCGTGTCAATCACGGGGTTGTCTCACTATTCTGTGTTGCCTCACCATTCTGTGTTGCAGTGTAGTATATAATTTGCTACCACAATAAGTTCATATTCACTTCTAGACCTATAGCATATGCCGTTGTTGATGTGTGATCGAACGGTGTAGATGTAGGCGGGCGTGCACGCATGTGTGCTCCTTGATATGTCAACTATGGGACAGCATACATTATATGTTATAGTGGTTGTCACAAATAATCTTTTTACGATATTCCCAAAGACACATTACATAAACTTACTGTGCGATTGAATAAGGCGCGCATGCGTGCGCATGTTGCTTGTGTGCCCATTTACACGTGACGTATGTGGCTGTGGTTAACGTGACGGCGGGGTTTGGGAATCATGGTGGGCACATGTGACGTTCGTTGCTGTAACATATTGTTGTGATGATACTGTGTATACTACGAAATGTTTTAGCCATGGCACACCATGGGAAGGCTGAGTAGAGCCGGCATAGCTGGAATAGGGGAGGGGATGCCGGGACTGAAGTCTCCAAGACGGACAAAGATGAGCCGCAGGATGAAAGAAGGAGAACCGGGCGGGAAAGGAAGGGAAGGAGGAGGGGGAGAAGGAATGACCAGGCCGAGATGTCGGGGTCGAGACGTGATGATGGGGGAGGTAACAGAGGGAGAATGAAGGAAGGAGCAAGCAGGAGTGAGAGCTGTATGGAGCAGCGTCTGTTTTCACAGGGGGGGGGGCGGTGAGAGGGGAGGGATTCAGAGTGGATGTGGCTTTGCAGAAGTCACGTGATTCACGGGAGGATTGTGCCGCTTTAGATGTGCTGACCTACACTGTTGTACTACCGTATGATTGAACATTGCAGATTTGCAGGTGTAGACATGTTGCATGTGTCAGTCGTAGGGCCGACACCAATTGGTGAATATCCAATTTGGTCCTGGGTTTTCCGTCAGCTCACTCAGCCGTCATTGAGTACTACACGGTGCAGTGTATAAACATGGGCACGGGGGAGACGAAAGCAGCTGGCCATGGTGCTGACCACACTGCTCATTCGTGCATCTTGCCGGCCTTCATAGGTGCTCGCTAATGGTGCTTGCCCCAACAGCCTTTGCAAGCTTTAGAGGGAATCTTAATATTTATTACATACATTATGTTATCCTTTATGCGACTATGTTGCGGAGCAATTCCACAGCCGTTAGCGCACTGAACTATGAACCCAGCGACATGATTCCAATTATACGTGTGTATTCATTCACATCTAATGTACACAATACGGTGGCACATAACACAGTACACTATACCGCAGTGTATACTGTAATGACATGTACACTTTGCGTTTGTTGATGTACGGTTAAGCACTGCGGTTATAGACTTGCTGTGTACGTGTGTGTGCGTGTGTGGTCATTGACATGCTGCAGTATTGATCAACTGCGCTTTGTTATATAAACAGTTTGCCCTGGCCCCTAATGCACTACCATAGTAAGTATATGCCATTCTGGCTGTACATACAATACAACTCCTCTCAACCAGGTCCTTATTTTCCGTGTTTATAATTATCCGTGCACGTAAGTGTCCGATTAATCCATACGCTACACTTTGCCCAACGTTGAAGCCCCTCCGCTGATGTGAGGAGTGACCTGTCGGTGTTGGCAAAGTCTTTTGATTATCCAAGCCATCGTGCGGATGAAATCAATGACCTGGAGGTAGTGGCAACATCAGCCGATAATTATCGGTGCTTTTGCATGGATACGAGGAAGCAACCTGGAAATGTGTGAAAATGCCTCCTATTTTCAGAGCCGTTTGCACGCACCAGTCACTTTGGAAGTGGCCTCGTGGAAGTTCTGTCACCTTCTTATCTGAGTTGTCACACGGGTAAGAGGGGGACCCGGAAGTGGTGGAAAATTCATCCTATTACCAGTGTTGAGTCCCGCATTCCCACTCGGCAACAAAGTACCGGTGCAAATAAACAGAGATGACATTATCTGCCCATAGCGCCCCCTACATATTATATTGGACAAATCAAGTTTCACTGCCGAGGCGAAGAGCTATGCCTCTCTGTAATTACGGGCTTAAGACCGTCTCTGCTCTTTCTTCTGATGAGTGACCTCTTCAATAACATCTCCCCACTGCACCTCCATCTCCTTACCTCTGTGCCCCCGCCCCACTCTCCTTCTTGATTATCACGCCCTCCACTACTGTCTGTGGCCCTCACTATGCCCAGTGTCGAGAGATGCAGTCACATGTAGACACATACATTAAAATAATTGAAAGCCCTTTATCAATCCATTGTTGTTGAAGGCCTGCTGTAGCGCCACGGTGGCGAGATCTTAACTGTCTCGCTTGGTATACAGGAGGTCGTGGGTTCGATCCCGACCCTGACACGTGTTTATTTGGAGTTTGCATGTTCTCCCCGTGGTCGCATGGATTTTTCTCCGGGTCCTCCGGTTTTCCTCTTCACATTTCGAAACATGTGTTTTGAGTATTTGGCTGCTATACATTTACACTTAATAATCCACTTCGTTGAGCTGTCATTTGTGGCCAGGTCGCTTCTGAAAAAGAGCAAACAGCGCAGTGGGCCTTACCTGGTAAAATAAGAATAGTAAGAAGAGTATCGGTCGTGGGGTGTTTTTGACCATACTTCACCATACTGGTCCATGCATGTTCGCAGCAGGGCCAGCCAAGGCCGGGAATCAAACTCAGGTACTGAGGTTGCTGGGTTCATAGCGCAGTGCGTTAACTACCGTCGCCACCACTTGCCACTTGGTCGCTTTATAAATTCAAATTGTATTGTGCTGTCAGGGTAATAGCAGATTAGGGAGGCATCAATAATATATTTGAAGAAGGAGGAGGGCGGGTGGCGCAGAGGTCAGAGCAATGAGGCGGCACTGCTGAGATCCTGGGGTCGAATCCAG